AGTACGCTTGCAATGATCAACTTCAGGTTGGAATTCCTGCTTTGGGATCCATCCAGCACACAGAAGCGGTACTATTCTCCAGTATCCTTGCCATTGAGTTTGAAATGGCTGAACTCAGAGACCACTGACTCATCATGGGATCCTTGGCTTGTTGTTTTTCAATGTTTTTCCATATGCTTCAAAGTCTTTCATATGTTGTCAATTGATCTCAATAGGTGAGCCTGGGAAGGTAATGTTCATTTTATAAACCTATTCTTTTGAGTAGATTGCAGCAATGAAAACCTGGAACTATTTATAAAATGCTTTTATATAACCAGTTCTTAGCTGCCTTTACTACAATATTTGCAATTTGTTCATTTTATAAAACATAAATGACTTGTATTTGGATGTGTTTGGATAACTTGTTGTCCCACTATTGGGAAGTGCTGAACTGATATGGCATCTAAACCTGACACACCTCTCCGTGGGAATCGTCGTGCCTAGCCTAGGAGGTTCTTCGGATGCTAGATGCTGTCTTGGCGCATGGAAAGGACTATGTGAGGCTCATTGTGTGCGACGGCCAGGGATGCCATGGCCTGTTGAGAAATGCTATTTGGGGAAATTTGGATCCAGCCTTCCGCCGGAAGATCATGGACACATCTTGGTTTTCCCTTTTGCGCCATAAAGAGCTTCCTGGGCTGGAGGATATTCCCAACTTTCCTTTCAAACTATGCATGTTGGGTGACAACCCAGTGTACTGCTTGGCTGGTCCAGCTCACGCAGCAAAAAGCGCTGCAGGTCAAGCATTGTCACCGGCCAAAGTCTTATACTATGGTGTTCACTTCTGTGATCCTGCTGCAACACTTCAGAATTCCATGCCGGTGCCTGCATACTGTCGAAAAGACCCTATGTCTGACAGATTGTGCTCCCTTCTCAGCAGTCCATGGTTCTTGATTTCTCAGGATGACATTGCTGATTTGAATGAGGTTCACATTCCATGGCACTTGCGTGGGTTTTTGCTCTGGGGTGTAACAACTGCGCTTTGTGTGGTGGCTTGGCAACATAAGGTGAAATCTGTTTGGCTGGAGCAGCGTTTATAAAATGCATTTGCTACATAAAACGAAGGCTGGAGTCTGGAGACTCATTTTATAAACAACTGTTTTTGTCATGCGTTGTGAAATGAGTCACAATATGTAGCCTTTGTAGCTGTTGCAGGGTTTATAAAACACTTTTTGTCCCAACCCAACATTGTTACACGAAGACTTCATAGTGAAAGCGCATTTCATAAACGTTACATTATAGTATCATTATAGATTTTTACAAGGAGTACTGTTATATAACAACAAAAACCTCAGCCTTTCATTCAATCCAAGAAGCCCAGGCTCCTGCAGTTCATGCGCGCATGAAGCTGAAGACGCGATGCGAAGTGGCCCTGACGGGTTTGATCACGCAGGATCTTTTTGCCCTTGTTGCAGCGCAGAAGGAAACGCAGGCCAAGGTGTCTCGAGGCAAGTTCTCGATGGCCCCGCAAACACGGAGAAACCTCCAGGCAGTGGCTGCCACAACAGTTCTGATGTGTGCATCAAAACCATCAGACTGGCAGTGTTGGCGCAGTGCACATTCATTGTCTGAAATCGCCATTGAACATCATTTTGGCAGATTGCGCTCACAGTTTGCCAGTGGCGAGATGAATGCCAGAAGCTTTTTCAATGCTTCAGCCAGATTGATGAGGCAGCTGCAAAACGACAAGACCAGCAAAGTGCATGCTGCTGGTGAGGATCATCCACTTGACACGGCTGCGTTTCTTAGGTTTGACATTATTTCATAGATCGACAAGATTTACGTTTTAATACGTTTGACTGTTTCTTTTGTTGATTTATATATGTATACAGTATTTTCATGTATGTTATTTTTCATGCCAGGGCTGAGGGTTGCTTTTTACACGTTTGACTGAATAAGGCTCCGATCGTGCGCAAAGCGGGCTTTGGAATCATCATTGCTGCTGGTGTCCAAGTGCAGCAACATCCCAGTGAAATCCCTCGAGCAGCAATACAAGTTAGAGACTCACTGTGGCTTCTTTGGCGAGGACGATGCGGAAGGAGAGGATTTGCTGGAGAATAGCTTGTTGGCTGAAGAGGAGGAAGCCATGAAGGACCAGAATGACATGAAGAACGTTCTGATGCAGATTGGTGAAATGGCAAGTGAAGAGCATTGTCCCTCGGAAGATGTGAAGGAGGCAGTTGATCCAGATGCTGCGATGCCAGACGGTCAAGATATCATTGATCTCACGGACGGAGTGGGAGATGAAGAGACAGCTGAGATTGAAAGGAAAGATTTGCCCACTACCTTGGCAGATGGCTTGGCAAAACGTTCCATGTGGGCAGGCCTTTTTCAGCTCTCAGTGTTCTTGCGATGTGGAACAGATGGCATGGACTCCATCTTTCTCAAGAAGGGGGAAATCATACGAAAACGGGCCAGAAAGCTCAACTGGCATCAGTTTCTTGGCTTTTTTCATATTGAAGAACAGATTTATAGAATTGCTTTCCCAATGAAACAAGTACAATTCTGTTGAATCTGGAGGGTGAAACCACATTTTATAAACACATGCTACTCTCTCATGTTTTCATAAGCCTGCTGCAGGATTTATAAAATGAGTTTGCCATAGCTCAACATGGTGTTGCTGAGACTTCAGGGTGGCAACACATTTCATATATATATAATATTTATTAGCAAATTAATTTGCATAAGTATTTGACAATATTTGACAATGTTGCCTGAGCGTGTCATGCCAAGGTCAATAGAAAGCCAGATGAAGTTGATTCGAGAGGAGGAGGGAGAGATGCTCGCAGGTCAGCGTGGCAGCCGCCTTTCCAAATGGATCCAAAGCACTCAGAAGATCAGAGACAAGGCTGGTTTACCTGCACCAGAGTCACTGGTGACGCTTGGGTGAAGCAATCAAAGTATACTTTCCATGGTGGAATATTCTAGGGATATTATCAATAATATATTATTTCATGTTATTTATCAGTTGGTCACTGAACCTTTCTTTATAGAATGGGTTTGGGAGAGTGTTCCCCTGTGTGTTTTTATGTTGTGGCGTTCTAAAGGCATTTTATAAATACAACTCACTGGTTCACCATAATCCCGATACCCTACATCTTGTTTATAAAATGCAGTTTTGGACTACTCCTGGTCTTTGAATGGTAGAAATAGTACTAAAAATACATTTTATAAAGGCCATAATATCCAAAGTTGCCTTTGCTTTGCAAAGAAGCAACCTTCACTGTCCTTTGCAGCGAGGATTGGAAGCGTCGTGGTGTTGCAAGTGGGTGGAAGAGCAGCGGCTGCCGTAGTCCACACACTGTGGCCCAATGCCAAGAAGCCCAAGCCTTGCTGCCAAAGGTTGCCTTTGGAGAGGATCAAAGTCTTCAGAGCCACCTTGCTCCTGGAAAGCACAGCCGACCAATGCATGTATCCGTCAGAGGACACTTTCGTGTACAAGCCAGAATGCATTCTGGCGATTCTTGATGTTTCAGAGGCAAACATGAATCATGGCAAGATTTTACTCACGCCTACCTCCATGACAGCAATGGCAGAGTTGACCAGTCAGTTTCAGGCAGGGCCTGAAAACGGTGATTTGGGTCAAGAGTGTCCAGACACCCAGGACAAGCAAGCCGAGCCCCAAAAGCAGGCCCGAAAATCGTCGAGATCTTTCAAGGCCGTTGCCAGCCGCTTCAAGAAAGCAGCCAATACCCGAAATGCACGAAATCCTGACAATAAAGAAGATGAACTTGTCATCACAGCAGAGAGTTTCAGGAGGTCAGAAAAGGGAAGACTGGCCATCAAAAGAGTCTTGACCAAGGCTGCTGAGATTGATGGGCTCAAGTTCCCGAATTCGCCCAGCTTTGACCCCATCTCTCAGAAGTGCAGCGCAAAGATTTGCAAGAACATTGGTGACTACACATTCAAAGAATTCATATCAGAGGCACCTTTGCTTTTTCAATACAAGCATTTCAAAGTGAGGAATCCCATCCACTATGGGAACAAGGTGAACGAGGAGCTCAGGCAGATTCTATCCGAATTACGAGGTGATCCTCCTTCACGAAGGGCGTTTCAGAGATTGATTGCGGAAGTGCGGCAAGCTCAGGTAGCCGGATCCATTCGTCTTTGAATGCCTTCACGAGAGGTGTCTCAGTTTCAGAAGTGTGGCAAGCGAAGCGAGCCGGGAGCATTCATTTGTGAATGCTGAGACAGCGCTCAACTTCGGGGGCAAGAGAAAAAAAGAAAGCTGACTGTCCGTGCTTGATTTGCAGCGTTGAGCACAGGTTGGCTAAGGCATTTTATAAAGACATTGTTTTGTTTGTGTTTGTCAGCCCCATTGCACATCAGGACATTATATAAAAATGTGTCAATCAATCAGATTTTGGTGTGCATCTCCATGTTCATTGCACAAGGATGGATGTGAAGACGTGGTCATTTTATAAATAAAGGTACGTTTTGCATTCTATAGACGTTTTTTGGTAGATATTTCATTGTATAGATACATTATTTTTATAAAATAAAAGTTAGCTGGCCCAGCAGTCATTGTAGGGGGATCATTATATATATAGGTCATTATGGTCATTGTAGGTCTTAGGTCAGTAGTCCATTGTCAGACCTGAAGAGATTTGCTCACCTTTTATGCGAGCTCTTGGCTATCCTGGCGGATTCAGAACAAGTAAATATGTCCTGGGTGTTTAATATGTATCTCCAGACCAGCGAATGTCGGATTGACCACATCTCATAGAATTAGTCAAATTAAGCAACTGACACACCTGCCAAGGTAAGTGGACATTTGCGTGTGTTAGCGCCTGTTCTTCTTTGGCCTTTAACAGATACCAGGGGCAGTGACAAATTTTTGTTGTGTTGCTGAATGAATGAGTTGGTTTCTCCAAAGCCCTCTCGTACATGATGCTAAATGAGCATTTGGAGTGCCTCCATTCTTCATCCAACCAACCATGTGACCATGTGATCAAACTGAGGCTCCTTCGGCGCTGTGGAGCTGTGCGACGCCCAGATGGAGTCACCGGGCCTCGACCTCCGTCATTTTGTCAGAAAACTTGGGCCTGGACAGGAGGTGGGAGCGGCCTTCAAAACGATCCTTTTGATTTGTTGGAAATTCCCTCATGGATGGAATCCTGATTGAGCATTTGTTTTGATATTTGCCATGCAGTTGAGGAGTATAGGGTGATGAACAGTTCCTCTTATTAATATTTGTGGATCCACGGTGAACGAAGCTCATTTGCAGTTTGGGTGCAGATATGTCCATCAACACTACACTTGCCAATTAATGTGTTTATACCTGTTTGTCCCTAATTGAGTCCCCCTACGTAGATCTCGGTTGCTTTATTTGTCGCACCTAGATTTCAATTGACCCTCAAAAGTAATTGTTTCTTCGCTCTGTTCTCGGTAGCACGCCCTGTTCTCGGTGACTGCACCTTCCATCCGACACCATCCGTGCGCCGGCTCGAATGGTCGCCGTCTCCGTGTTCACCAGGTGGTCCGAGGCGAAGAGTCAGCACTGTTGCCAGATGGAAGGACGGCGACCAGACTCGCCCTCGCGCCCACATGGGCCGTTGGCAGGTCAGTGCCCAGGAAGCTGTCCAAGAGGTCACAAGTACAGTAATGAAGCAACCACTGGTTCAAATATGTATTTAAGGAAAGTAATCCTACCAGAACCATGCAAGAGGTCACCAATGAACGGCACGTGACGAAAAAGGGTCCTTGAATTGACTGGTAACACATGGTAACACCTCTTGGTCTGGTATTTGGTAATTCCTGACATCACTTTTGCTGAGATACTCACGACCCACGACCTTGAAGGCGGCACCCCTCCACAACCGGTCCAGGACGTGGCTGTTTGAAGAGGTGCTGTGGCCGGGCGGTTTGCCGGATGATACGATGGCTCAAGATGACGTGCGGACACACACCTCAAAGCTAAGTGCAGCGAGCCTTTAGGACATGTTCAATGTACACAAATAGAGATGCAACCTCTTGTAGTCCCATGTTGGTGCATGGTTTTGTGTAGTAGAGAGCAGAGAGCTTCCTGTAGAGGCCATCCTTCAATGTTGAGGTATATTCATGCATGCACTGCATCCACGCCAATTAAATCATCGTTTTCCCATGCGATCATGGGCCAGGTCGGCTGGCCTTTTCGACTGCCTTCAAGACGATCCAGAGGCCGTTTAAGGGTGACTGGCACAGCGCGGCAACTTTTTGAATGGAAGTGAACCAATAATTAGTGGTCCAGGACTTGCATGCTGCTTTCTACTTGCTTTCGTCCCCCCCCTTCTCAGGTTCAAAAGAATCTGCCCACCAAGGAATCCCACTGGGATTGCAGGACGTCGTTGGAGTAACCAAGCCCATACCCGAAGCGAGCAGTGTTTAGCGAGCTGAAGAGGGCTCTTCCTTTGAGGATTTGGTAGAGGGATGCTCTCCCAAAAAATCATTTTGCATGCCCCGGTCTCAAGTCCACATCCATACCCTTTGAGAAGGTGGTAGAGGAGATCCAGATGTATTCAGATGGGGAGTTTGGAGTGTCCTTCTCCTTTTTCAGCAGAGATCCAAAGAGATGACCGGAGCCACATAGGGGAAACACATACCTTTCAGACCACAAAGTGCTACACCGTCGACCTAAAAGACCGGATCTAGCAGTGATACTCATGGAACCACCAATGATCCAATGGATGAAGACATGTTTTAACAGTGAAACACTCTTTTGTTGGAGAAACATCCATTAGGTCACCCGTCCAGGTCTCCAAGAACCTCTTGGCCGCCCCCTCCGTTTCGGTTCGGTGGTTGGGGTGGGTTTGGTGGGTTTAACTAACTATGTTTAACTACCTTCTGAGGATGTGGTTGGAGGTGTAGGGTCACTCTTCAGTAGGTCACCCCCCCCATCGCCACTCTCGGGTGTTTGGTCGGACAACTCGCCTTCAAAAGCTCGGGGAGTGACATTGGTGAAGCTCGGGAGTACATGCCTAGGAGGGTTGACAGTGGATGAATTTGATTGAATCTGATGACCAAATTCCGATATGGGACAGGAATATATGCCGGCCCATTGACCCCTCTCCAGCCACCGAAAAGTAAAGATGGAGTGTCAGAGATTGAATAACATTGCGCGGACTTTGGGCCTCAATAAGCAAGTGAGCCCCTCGCTGCAAGAATCCAAAGGTTCTAATTGTAGAAGGTTTTGGATACCAGGACTCTACATGATTTCGGTGCTTTTGGCAACCCTAATTATGGATCTTCTCGCAGTCCATCATGGGTCCGTGCTCCTTCTGTGCCACTTGATGTTTGGAAATTGCTGAAATCGCTCCAGGCATGGACCTTCAAGCAACGGGCCAGCACACCCAGTGGAGAGATGTTCGGGGTGTAAGGCTGTGATGCGAGAGAACTGCAATGTACTATATGCCGCCCCATGGACTCCCTTAAAAAAGAGGCACTCAGAAATACCCCCAAAGATGCAATTCCCATGGGTCGTTTTTGCATGTATGATGCATCTTTCAATGGACCCCAAGAGTCTCAGCCGGGGGTGCCGCTTGGCCGGGTAAACCGGTCGACGCCATCACAGCAGTTGACGCTCTCAGCTTGCCAGACACCTTAGTTTTCCGACAAGATGATGAACATGGGAAAGACTTTGATAACATTTGTTAACAAATTGTAAGAACATGTGTACAACAGGTTCGGATTCAGGCTCTCAAACCCATGGTGGGTGACCCGAAGCCATGGCCGGGGACATGTTCCTTTCTGTCCGCTTGAGCTGGCCTTTACGGGTGACTTCTGGAAGCATATTCCGGAAAACATGTGCACAGCTTTTTGCCTCGTGTGCCTTAAAGGGTGAAGAAGGTTCTGTTACTCAAAGTTTATAAGGCCGCCCTGGGCGGTCTGAGACACTCAATTTGCGACTTGACTCAAAGCAGAGATTGGTCGACTGAGTCCTTTCCGACTTCACACGACGAAGGGGTTCCAGTGTCCAGACCGGGTCAGCTACAGAGGGGTTGCCGGTCAGGTTGTTTGGACCGCAGTCATTGAGTCCTCTCTGAGATGAACTCGTAAAATGATACTGTAGCCCACGGACCATTAACAATGTGTTGACTTGGATTTCAGGATATTGTGAGGTTGTCTGAGTTCTCCGCGATGTTTTTGGTTTGTATAGTGGGGGTAGCACCACATGGGCAGTTTCTCGCGCTTGGTGCCTCGGTGCCTCAGGACTATTGCTGCGCACATTCTGGCCGCGGGTGCCACAGGATGCCATCCAAACGATCTTGCTGTCATTGCCCTACCAAGGAAGTACGTGGATCAGCATGGATGATCTGAAAAACCTTATTTGTTCTACTTGTGTTTCTACTTTTTTTGGGGGGGATCCCTTTTGGTTTCTGGTCAGTTTTCTGACATCTTCTGGCACCTACGAAGTACGTGGATCACCTGGAGGTCACCTTTGGGATTGGTGAAACCCCACTAAACAAGAACGAATGGAACAAGGTTAACGACTGTATTTTCCAGACAAACTGATGGAGTCAGTAACCACGTGTTGGTCGGAGCAGTCATTGTGACTGAGTTGAATGGACGATCGTGACGATGCTTGATGGTCCGTTTGTTGACTGTATAGATTATAGATTCACAAAATCATAAGAAACCTGTATATAGCCAGATGTTTACCGCTTTGTGTATGTGTGATGTGTACTAGACTGTCCCTCATGGCAAAGCTGTGCTGCAATGGGTTGACACATATGTCACATGCGTTCACTCTCCTTCTTGTTACTGAGTTGCCATGAGTTGCCTATCACTGCCGATCTCATCCCCACTCCATGGAACTGGAAAAACATGCCCAAAACACTCCAACCACCCCAAACATGTGGATAAATATGGCTTCCCTGGAGTGTTTGAGATTTGGTGTGGAGGCCATCGCTCTTAGTAACAAGGGCATCGTGGCATCGTTCGTGAGGCCAGAACGCTACGAACGTAGCAAGAACGCCTTACTAGTAGGCTATCTCCACAGATTCCTGGAGCATTTGATCCTTCCGAGTCTCCTGGGTCCCGTCCCTCTCACGCTCTCGCAGGACGCACGAGTCAGAAGCCCAGAGGAGAGACGCGGTGAGTGGTGACTGCAGGTCCTCGGTCCCTTCACGTTGACCAACCAGGTAAAGCTTCAGGCAAGGGAAGTCACAAGCAGAAGCATTCTACCATGTCCTGAGCCTACTGTACTCCACTCACTTGGATTTGATTTCAGGGAATGAAATGGAATGAACCAAAACTTTGGGATTTGGTCCACCAACCATACGTGACTGGCGATGCTGGCGTATTGTACCCAGATATGTCCAGATCCTCACCCCCTCTTCACCCACACCCCCAGGTCCCACCGTGACCCAGCTCTTCCGAACGCCCGTCCGCGGGACCGTCCGGCGTTCTGGTGATTCTCGCCCATGAAATCCCCAAGTAACTATTTGTAGCGTCCTTGCTCCTAGTAGTAAGGCCAGGAGCCCCTAATAGCGTCTTTGCTACTACTAGCTTCTTGTTCACATGCACTTTGTTCCTAGTAGCTTCTTGTTCCCAATAGTAAGGCCAGGAGCCCCTAGTAGCTTCTTGCTCCAAGTAACTTTGGTCGTACCTTGTCAAGATTGACTGCTTCGCCTCCTCCACCCACCCGTTTGCTTGGAGGCCATCGCTATTAGATGCTATTAGGTTGGAGGCCATCGCTAGTAGGTTGCAGGCCATCGCCCCAGGTCCCACCGAACCGAACGTCCGACTGCTTCGCTCCCTTCGCACCGAGGTCCTATGATTGCTTGGCAGGACTCGACACTTGGAAAGCCGGCCCAGAGCCTGAGGTCGAGGTCAATCGAAGTCGACCCGCGTATTTTTATTTTTTCGGGAAGGAAGCTGTTTGTACTTTTGGGGAGTGAGTGCTTTTTGCGTGGTACATCAATGGTACGTCTCTAAGAAGTCGGACCTATAAGAAGTGCACAGAGAGAGTTTTCAAGAGGTTGTTACACTATGTTACACTCACATGTGCTTTTTGATTTGGTGGCCAACCCAAGAAAACCCATGAGGATCAATTACATCAACCGTCATCAACCATTTATAGACATGCAGTGAGAGCGACTGATCCATTTAGATGTGCTTGATCAACATCCAGTAGGTGAGTATCAATCCAGTCCCCAACCCGGATCCGGTCATGAGGTCGACAGGGGTCCATCCGCCTTTGGGGCACTGTTGAAAAGTGTTGAACAGACATCGTTTGCGTTTATCCCATTACCACGGCCAATAGTGGACACTTATGGTCCGGTATGGTTTGGTTGCAGCCCTTTCTCAAGCATCGTGATATATCGTGATCAATTTGCTTTTCTAGGACACTCTCTACCTGCAGCCCACGCTCTCCACTTGGAACGCCTCCCCAACCTCCAACCGAACCTCCATTCTTTACGCGTGGGTGGGTCTCCCCACGCACACCTCACTCTCATCACCGAACACGTCGCTCACCGTGGGTGACGCTTGCTTCGTCACCTCGATCGGAAACGAGGTTGGAGTCTCCACAAGAAGCTTTGGTGTTGTGACAACCAGAAACTGGGTTGCGCCACAGAGTCGGTCTCCTCAGCTGGCAGAGGTTTTTGGTGCTTTTAGGGTGCGTCCTGAGCTGGAATCTGGGTGAGTCTGGGCGAGTTTCAGAGAGTTTGGGGTTCAACCTTGGGATTATTGATCCCACTGACTGTTTCAAGTGAAACCACCAAGCAGTGGAACAAGACCAGGATCGCGGAGAAAAAAGGATATGGTCAGACGGTGTCCAGATCTTTCGTGATGTTTCTCAGTGAAAAACATGGAGCATTTCTTCAAGCAAGCACCATGAAAGCCATGAAGTTCACCAGGGAGGTCCATGTTTCGCCCGGGTTTGTATGGTTGGTGTAAGAAGCGGTGTAAGACGGTGGTCATTTCTCGTGCTTTTGAGCCCGGCAAACGGTGACGTGTCGAAAGCACTAGTTTATCTCAGTGGTGTGATTGGTTTGCGATTTAGATAGGGGCTAAAATAATGTGGGGATGAAATTGTCATGTTTATCCCAAACGCCAACTCCCAGTTCTTCGCTTCCTTTGTTGTTCCAAGAGTACTTTGTTTTGGTTTACCGCTGCCACTGTTTCCTTCTCTCACTTGTCTCCTTATGTGTCTCCCCAGTTGGTTGCCTGTGTGATCGCCGTTTTTTTGCCTTTGTTGCCTGGTCTCCTTCCTTGTCTCCTAATTTGTCTCCTCACTGGTCTCCCCGCCTGTCTACCTGTCTCCTTACTTGTGCTTGTTTGTTTGCGTGATCGGCGTCTTGTTTGTCCCTGTCTCCTTGCATATCTCCCCACTTGTTTGCCTGTCTTGTCTTGTCTGCTGCTGCTGCTGCTGCTGCCGCTTTGTCTCCTTACTTGTTCCCTCACTTATCTCCCCACTTGTTCTGTTTGATCGTCTTGTTGTTTGCTGCTGCTACCTTGACTCCTGACTTGTCTCCCTGTTTCTTTGGTTTTGTTTGGCTACTAAATGGGTTTTTGTCCCGGGTGCATTTGTCTTAGTTTGTCTTTAGAGTTAGTTGCTATCTGGGGTCTATGCCGGTGTACATGTATTTTGTTTGATCATTTGTTTTCTGGCGAGGAAGGAATTTTCGGCATTTTTCATGGTTTCAGTGTCAATGCTCTGTGTTCTGGTGGATTTCTGGATTGCCAACAGGCAATACAGCTGCCTGAATTCTGTGGAAACCTGGCCCGGCCCTCAAACACCCGCACAGATTGCAACAAGAACGCTCAGTTTTCGAGGCCTGAATAGATGGTACTAAGTACTAAGCCAGGATTTTGGATGGAGATGTTCGATTTTGTCGTTTTTGTTTTTAAGAATACGTCATACGGGTTAAACGGCTAAACTTCCTGCTAGTTTTCACTGTTCCTTGGCGCCAGCAGAGCATTTTGTTGTTCATTGCAGGGTTAATTAGAAAACTATGGCTGGGAAAATCAACATTGCAAGAAACGCACCCTTGCAGAGTAGAGTAGTATATAAGTCTTGTGCCACAGCACCGCCAACTTATGTAGCTGGTTTACTTTTAACTGGAGCTTTTGGCCGTTTGTTCTTAGGCTGGTCAATCTGTTTTGTTACAGGAGATCCAGCATGTCCAGAAAGGATTCCCTCCAATCGTTCCACCAGATACTGTTCTCCAGAACTCATTCCCTTCTTGCTTCAGCTTCCTCAAAAAGGGCAGGTACGTATGCTTCAAAGCCTCAGAAGGTGGTTGACCAAAAACATCCAAAAACCATCCCCAATGAAACTTTTCAGGTATGGACAGGGCGCGTCCCGGTGGAGCAGTAATAGTCAGTAAGAGTTTATGTTTGAGAGAGGTTATCATCGTCGTCATCACCACCACCACCATCCTCCTCCTCCTCCTCCTCCTCATCATCATCATCATCATGGTCATGGTCATCGTCATCGTCATCGTCATCATCATCATCCACTGGGCCCAATGAATGGGATGTATTGGTACGGTGCAAAACCTGGAGCCCTAGTCCAGAATGTAGCTTGACCTTACAGGTACGTCAACCTGTCCTTGTTTTGACCACATATAAATAGGTACGGTATGGACGCCAAAACCGTCGAATTGCTGACGGGCAGGGCGCCCACCAGCGCCAACGGCCCGGTTACTCAGGACCGCCGATCAACAAGTGTATTGCCGGAGCCCCAGTGGAATCCAGAGCTGAAGCAAACGATCGGAACATGCGAGCCTGTTTCATCGTGTCCTTCATCGTCTAGGGTCAAAGAGTGCGAACATGCCACTGGGGCCTATGAGTCAAATTTCTTGGGGCTCCAGTCATACCATCTTACAAGCTATTTCAACCCTCTAAATCCACCCCAGTCCCGCCTTCTCAAAAGGTGCTTGGAGCCCATTGAGAGACAAATCAACAGGATAAGCATGGAAAAGCTGTTGTTGGAGGGGAGACTGTCAGAGAACCGATGAAAAAGATCCCCCGAGGATCCCCTTGAGGGTTTGAGGCAATTATGCTGTAAGTCAACATTAACCTACATTATCCAGTATAACTAACCAACCCAAATGTAGGTCATATTTGCTTGCATGATGTATTTGGTATAGGGATGTATAGGGGTTCCTGCAAGGGTTGTTGCGTTCGTTTAGAGGGAGTGACTAGGTATGGCTGGCTGGCTGATAAGAAACTCTAGGTATCGCCTGAAGACCAAACGTTTGCTTGGTGAGCACCCTATCTTGGGTCAGAAAAACTTGTGTGCTGTGCGGCGACCCGGGGCCACTCCAACCACCGGAGTTCCGCTCGTTTGGACCAGATCACCTGAGGTTGCCAAGCACACAAGGTGGGCTGTCCTGAAGACAAAGTCGAAGTCAAGGAACCTGAGAAGACGGAGACTGCGACAGCCCCGGCACCTCCAAAAGCTGAACAGCTGGGCGGCCTGGCCTGGCAGCATGTTCACCGGTGGTTGAGACAGGTCAGGTTTGGGCGCCAAAAAGCTAAGGCAGAGGGCTGTCTTCCATGTTCCTCCACATTCTCCAACATTTCAGGAAATCTCTCACCACCAATCAGGCATGATCCAGCTTCTCGGTTGAGTCTGACCTAGGCCCTTGTTTGATTGCCGAACGGGTTGGCCAGACCATGTGCATGCCTGGGGCGACTCGAAGAAGGCGCATTTCTTCTTTGCGTGTCGAAGCACCCACGTGCGGACAGCGTCGGCTTCCGTCCGGGTCGAACAACACCTTCAAAGATGTCATGGTAACGAACGGGGGAAGGAAGTTTGAACATGATGGAATGAAGCTTTACTAAAGTACTAAAGGATACTAAAGGACCTAGATATACCCTGATGGTATTTTCGGAAGGCGCAGAGAAACTCGGGCCCTCATATGGGCGTTCTTCCCAATCTGAGGTGAAGAATCATAGGATGTCAACTCTTTTGCCTTTCTTCATGTTTTCATGTTGGCGGAGTGTGTTTTATTGAGACATACAGCGCCAATGACAGGACAAACAGGACTGTTCCGGCCAGCGTAAAAAGGAAGTCTTGCTAGGGCGCACTCAAACAAAAGCGAAGTGGCATCCACAGGCAGATTGGAGGAAGCGCCACACCGGGGAAATCTCACACGTCACCATAGCACCGTGCCAAACCTTTTGCGGGAAATTGGCTTCTGATTCTAGAGTATTACAATTCCCAAAGTGTCGATCATTGGGCTTGAGAGCTAGGATGCAAACGATAAATTGCCAAAAAAAACAATCCCGGCAAGAGACCCCAAACAGTGTGTGTGTGAGGTTTATAAGCAGAAAGTCTGGAGATCTAGACGCATTGGGGTCCAGAGAGGTGATGGTGGTGATGAAGGTGGGGATCGTGGTGACGGTGGCGGTGGTGGTGAGTGAGTGAGTGAGTGTGACTGTGAGTGTGAGTGTGAGTGTGAGTGAGAGTGAGAGTGGAGAGTCAGTGAGTGCGAGTGAGGGTGAGTGTGGGTGAGAGTGGGCGAGAGTGAGAGGGAAAGTGAGGGTGAGTGTGAGTGAGACTGGGAGAGTGAGTGAGTGGGAGAGTGACTGAGTGTGAGTGCGAGAGTGTGGGTGAGAGTGAGAGGGAGAGGGAGTGTGAGTAAGAGTGGGAGAGTGAGTGAGTGAGAGTGGGTGTGAGTGAGTGAGTGAGTGAGTGAGTATGAGCAGGAGTGTGAGTGTGAGAGTGAGTGTGAGAGTGAGAGTGAGAGTGAGAGTGAGTGAGCGAGAGAGAGTGAGCATCTGAGAGTACAAAGTGCTACGCCTGCGAACTTCGAGGTTCACAAGGTACTGCGCCTGCCACGAAATCTGCACTTTGAGGTTCACCAAGTGCTGTGCCTGCCACGAAATCTGCACTTCGAGCTTCGAGGTTCACAAAGTGCTGTGCCTGCCACGAAATCTGCAGCTGCGCCTGCGACGAAATCTGGACTTACAGGTTCACAAAGTGCTGCGCCTGCCACGAAATCTGGACTTCCAGGTTCACAATGTGCTGCGCCTGCCACGAAATCTGCACTTCAAGTTCACAAAGTGCTGCACCTGCCACGAAATCTGCAAACGAGCCACATGTCCAAAAGTCACGATTCACTGCACCTGTCCAGAGCACCTCGAAGATCACGACCATGCATCCAAAGTACTGCACCTGCCACGAAATCTGCATTTCGATGTACAACCGCTCCGATCCCTTGCACCTTTCACGAAAAGTCGACTTTGGACCACCAAAACACGAGGTTAGCCTTGCACCTGCCACGCAAAGTGACCACCGTGTGCGAAAATGCGCACGGCGCCACAACGTGAGCGCAGTCGCGACAAGCACTCGCCGCCGCCACCCAGATTTCGCGAGCCTGCGCAGTCGAAATGCATGTCGACGACTTCGAGAGGCACGAATGTATGCTGTAAATAGCAGCGAACCACAGCGATCTAAGCACAGCTGCTTAACCACTACCGTAAGAACCCCTAAGTGTGTCCACACCGTTTGGGGAACTATGTCACAAAATTTACTGTAAATGTTGCTGTTATATTTTTTCATGTTTATTTATTATATTGTATATATACCTGTTATAGTATAATCTATATTTTAGCAGGGACACCGCGAGGAACCACCTTGTGAAAACCACTCGGAAATCATTCCGGCAACTGTTTGCCAAGGAACTTTTTCACCAAATGCTGTTATTTCAGCGCACTGGCTAAACCTAGCATGCAAGCTTTGCACCCTAGCTCTCCCCTCATACTAAACACTGCAAGACCCCAACGTGAGACATACGGATTCCGGAAAAACAAGATGGACAAACACAGCCAACCCACATGAGACAAACCCAGCGTTTCTGAGTGGGCGTTCAATGACTTCACTCCAGGACACGCCTTACTTCGCCCACCTCACTTCGCCTGTCTGTCCTCAAAGATCATGTGAGCATCTGACAAAATTTCCGTATGTGTACGTACAAAGTCACGAGCTGCGGAACAAATAAACATATATATATATGTATTTTTGAGTTGATCAAAACCTTGCAAAACCGATAGTACCGCCGATACCCTTTCTTGATTGAAAGTAATATACATTGTTACCATTGTGTGCGTTCCAAACAACAACTGCAGTTTTTGCCAGATGTGAGTTGCTTTCCAGGAATTTTGCTGCTCAAACTATAAGCGTGGCTGCAAGGATTCCAAGGACCCGGACCGTCCTCACGCGCCGGACCTCCGGGCGTTTCGCTGAAGCGCAGGGTTTTTTGAATGCCCGACCCGAGACGAGCATTCGGCATGCCTGCAGGGCCCTCAGGGTGGGTAAGACGGACGAGTCTGAGAAGTGTTTCTATACAGACTAGAGAGAGTCCTTGAAAGCTGAAATTTGTCATCCACCATCAAAACATACTTGGTTTAGCTGGTGGCTGATGGATCTGGTGTCATGCATGTCCGTGCTGCTTGCCAAGAATTATTATGCTGATTTAGTATAATTATATACTATATTCAGTTTTACAATGTAATACACAAGTGACCACAAGTGTTTAATTGTGTGTTGCTTGCTTTCCTCAATGGCTGCTGGTCATTTGCAGGTCTTCCGTTTTAAAACTGAAACCCAAACCCGTTGCAAATTCGACACCTTGCTGCACCATAGCCTATCTATGCTTCTGTGGTCTGACTGGCGGAGTCCATCCGAAAATCGAAGGATTGGCTGTTTTGTTCGTCGTGCGTGCATGCAAGGAGGAGCCGGAGGAGCCGGCTGCTCCATTACATCCAGCTCCTCATGTGGTGATCCAAACCAATCTCTTCAACTGTCAGGCGCGCGCGGCGCGCTCGCAGGGCGCGAGCGGCTTGGCCCAGGATCGAAGATGAATTTACTTTGGAAGTTGTTAGCACTGCGGTCCGCGGTGAGTGTTTTTTTCTAGTTTTTTGACTCAGACCCCCCAGAGCAGAAGTGACTTTATATCCTCTGAACATGTTTGGACCAATCCCCACCTAACCACCACATGTGATGTGGCCGAAGAGTTTTGCAGGCGGTATCCACTAACACTCCCACACATGGCATCGCCCCTTTACTTTACGACATAGACATAAGTACCATGCTCTTACACCCTCAAAGGTGGCTTTGGGAACATGTTCCGGTGGTTTTCAGGGGCCTTTGTGTGAGATTGGGACTTCCAGATATTGGTCCTTGAGGAACCTGGTTGCGGGTGACTCATGTAGCTTTGAGTCCGCTTGTAAGCAGGATGATCTGGTGAATTGGCACAGTGCGGAAGCTGAGTGTCTCACCCGGACCCAGTGAACGCCATGGAGAAATCTAAAAAAACAACATAAGATAACATTAAAAACATCACCAATGTGATTTTGTTTTCATTAGGGGTCCTCTTGATCCTATGGTTTCAATCTAGTCTGAAACCATATTGAGACCAATTTGACAACACACATTTGTGTATGTGTATATATATATATATGTATATATACATATGACGATGAACCTTGACATTGAAAGGTTCACGTGTCCGTCGCACTTGGTTGGTTCTTACCTGAAACTACTTGACAAAAGAAAAGCTGGCGGTGGGCCGGTGGGCTCATCCGGCCAAATGTCTTTCTTGGGCAAGGACTATTCATCTACCAAAAACAATCAACTAGAAGGTAAAGTGAGGGGCGTGGAGTCGTGGAGGCCATTGCTCTTAGGTTGAAGGCCATTGCTCTTAGGTTGGAGGCCATCGCTATTAGGTTGGAGTCGTGTTTGCTTCAAGTTGGTCCCTCCCCCAACCTTCCGGAACTGAAGGCGTCGAGTGTTTGCAGACTTCATATGGGGGGAGTTATTAATCGGCGTCGAGTCTACATTAGTTTGGGGCTTCCATTGGCGCCTCACCGAGGCTGGGCAGCTCACAAGAAGTCCTGGTGTTGCCAGCACCAGGACATCGCTTGTGCCGAGCACGTCGGGAAAGCCCGGCTTTGACGGCCAAAACCAGGGTCGTTTCAGAAGCATCAATGACTACTCGATGACACAACAGAAAGAACTGAGAAACCAAGAGACATCGTGCTGCAGGGTTTCACTTCTCATCCAAACGTGTTTTCACATTGGGGAACACCGGCATATTGAAGGTCTTTGCTATTGGGATGGTGGGGTACAGACTTGCTTTCTTGGATGCTCGCTGGTAGAAGGTTCACATAGGAACAATGCCCAGTATATGGGGAGAGTCAAGAGGGATTAACCATATGACTATATATATATATATGTTCAATCTGTTTGCAGGTATTTGGGAGGACAAGAAAGCTTGGTCAAGGTACTTCTTCAGAGTATTCACCAGCTTTAGGTAGCTCCAGAATTCGGGATCCACCAAGTTACTTGGTTCTAATGTGTTTTATATAATATATTCATCTGACTCCCAAGTTCGACTCTTTCAGGTTGAAGGCATATTTGACCCTGGTGAAAACACACTAGCTGGATCTAGCTGGGTATACCTCCCATCGGATATCGATTCTTTGAAGATCTTTGTTTGGGTACTCTAGCTGCAGCTGATGTCCTTTGGGAGCGACGGCTGGGAGCGACCACGAGAGCTCCCGAAAGCAGAGCCGTACGGGTCTCTACCCACCGGGTCCGATGAGGTACTCGGTACGGGTCTTCAGTTGACTCTGAAGGTCAAACGGGCCAAACGAGTTGGAAACCCAACTGGTGCTGTACCGCTTTCAAGGTTGAGGAGTATCAGCAAGTGTTGCACTGTGGGATTTGACTAGATATCTCATCACATGGTTCTGATTTTTTGTGCCCCCCCTGTCTATAGTTTGTGATGGTTATACCTATACCTATTTTATATAGGGTTTATATATGCGTAATATACAGTCCGTCTATTTCAAGCATATTGACCCAGGATTTGGCCGTTGCCCTAAGACTACCTCCTCCCTGCCCTCCATAAGCTAGCAGTGTTAGCTATCGCGCCAACGCATGCTCAGGGCCAATACGATTGCGATGTGGCGGGGCCCAGCGCTGCACTGTGTGTGTGTGTGTTTGATAGACCCTGGGGGACCTGCACAGCTTCTGAGAAGGTCGTTGGGCCCTTCAAACCCACAAATCGCACCGCATCAGTTTTTGTCAAAGGTGATGGTCAACCGGCCACCCCATGTTTGCAGCTAAAGAGGAACGGTGCCAGGGTCACGGAGTGCTTGCTCTTGGCCATATTTGTATAAAGCAACATCGATGTGCTTCAAGATCTTATCGGCCTGGACCTGGTCTTACCATCTGTCTTACCTACTTACCATCTACTTAACTGATTGTTGGTTTTGAAAGTGGGTGTGTTTTGCAAAACTCCTATACCGGACTCCCCAACCGATATCGCTGGGTAGCCAGAGGTTCCATAAGCTGCATAATGGTATCATGCTGTTATGAGCCATTGGCACAGAACAAAAGTTTGAGAAGATGAAGAAGGTCGATGTTCTACCTACGCCTCCCAAAAGAGCCTGTCAGCTCGTGCTCAGGCTGGTCAAGAAAAGAGCTGGAAATCAGAAAAGAAGGTGACAAAGATGCAAAAGTCGATGTTGTTTTTAGAGGTTCCAAGTTTGGGGTCTTGGCGAAGGTCAGGATTGCCCCAAATTCCATGCACCAAATCCATCGGGGTCTCAAAGTCTCCCGACATGCCGACATGGCACTGGTTTGCAGATGTTCTTTTCGTTTAGGCCTCAGGCCTCAGTCTTTGTGTCTACACCGTTGACGGACCAATATCACGGTGACGGCCCCGTGGCGACTCGGAGACGGCCAATTCCAAGACCAAAGAGGTTGTGATCTCCACGTTGCAGGAGGGCACGTTCATGGAGGGCTTTTCTTTCGTCCTGTTCTGCGAACCGACGTCGTGACGTAGCGAACCGTCGATTTCGTACAAAGACATAGTCGATGCATGCCATATCACAGGGTATGTGGATCACTCGGGTTCATCGACTCTGTGGCATATACTCTTACGCGCATGCTAAGGTCTACCTTTTGACTGACCAAAACAATATTCAACTGATATTTCCACTGAAGGGCAGAGCGCCCATGTGGAATCTCAGCATCGTCATCGGCTGCAGATTCAGTGACAAACTGAATATCGGAATCATTTGTCCGTACTGTTGCTGTTCCACCTAATTGCATGTCGAATTCGGTAGAAATAAGCTTCTGGAAAACCAGGCCGAGCCAGATTTGTGCAGCACAGGTCTTTTATCTCTTGTCAGCAATATCCTTCTTTGTGGTGGTCGAAAACCAACTGCAGGTGCCCATTAGTCACTGGGGTCCTGTCAGTCCCAATGATTTTGATGTCCAGTACTGTTCTGAAAACCTGTTGAGTACTTGTAGATGGCACTGCCTCCATTGCCCTCACAAGCATCTCAATGGGGGGTTCAGCAAAGACCGCCTCTTGGGCCTCGTGCCATCCACTCTCAAATTAACAAACGAAGGTGATCATCATGTCAGTTTGGCACAAACAAAGAGGACCTATTTGCTATTAACCATGAGGGGAAACAATCTCAAGAGGCGAAGGGTGAAGGGGCTTCGGAAGAACCATTATCACAACCACCGGATAAGACAACCATTCTCTCTGAGTTTTGGTAGGAAGTGAGATTTGGGGCCAAAGTTCGATTTCTTGAACCTCAAGCATCCAGTGTTCTCCGGAAAGATATATCTGATGCATTGAAGACGGGGTGTCCTAAGATGTCCCAAGTGATCAGCTTCTTAGAATGGACATGTATAAATGGACCAAGTGTCGGCTCCTTTGCCAACCGACTGCACCTGAACACCGACTGCACTATACGAACAAACAATAACCTGACGTTGTCGCGCTCAAACCTGGTTTTCGCTGGTGACACCGACACCCATATATAGTCAGTTTTTGAGGTGCCCCTCATATGCTTTTGCATGGTACCTTCGAAGTACTGTACCTTCGAAGTCCTCAGAGAACATGGTAATAAGGAGACCCCATGGCCCAATGGGTAGACTTGTCTATTTTCCTTCTTCAAGGGGATCCATGTGGGTTCTCCCTGTGAAAAATTACACACCATGTTGTGTAAGCTGCAGTGCCCGAACGTGATGCTGATGTTGACCTGTCAAATGAAGATCGACATGAAGCAGTTAATATTAAGTGTCCCTAAAAATCTAGGAACCAAATAAATAGAAGTGTGAGCTATCCTGCGTCCATAGTAGTAGCTTAAGTAAGGTAGCTACCTAACTTCTACTAGCTACCTCTTCTACTACCTCCCTCTAGCGGCCTACCTCCCCACCACCCCCAAAAAAGTCTGAGGACTACTGCTGTTTGTACCAGAAGAAGGGCTGCGAATTTGATGCTGGGCTCTCAGTGTTGCGTCGCACCGACGCACCGACCGGAGAGAGTCCGATGGCCGCGCCCGTTGGGCCAAGCGCTCTCTCGCGCTCTCGTGATGGCCGACGCACCGGTGGCACGGGGGATCTGAACAGCCGAAGTGACACCGAAACCAATTGGCTTTCATGACAGATGGAGGGGCCTCTGACAGAAGGAATGAGGAGTTGTGTTTGCAAGTGGCTGGCAGGGTGGCAGGGCCATGTAGGACCTTGCATGCATGCTGTGTTACAGATCACAAGTTTGCACATGGCATTGAATCCATTGTGATGTTCACGAAACTTCATCACATGCTCTGTCAAATCCAAGGAGGATGATGCGGAGGTTGAAGAAGGAGATACTTCCGAAAGCTATGATTCAGTTGCAGCATCTCATTTGCACATCCCTGCTGCACATGTGGCAACCGTGAGCCACACCTTCCCCACCTTCAATTCCATCAGCAGTGGACACGTGGCAAGCGTGAGCAACATCATCCCACCTGGTGCTATCACAAGTGGTGAGGTGCCAAGCAGCAATATCATCCCCAGTGGCTTCACCAGTGGTGGACATATTACAACTGTCAGCAACAGCATCCCTACCGCAGATGCCTTCAGCGGCGGACATGTAACAACTGTGAGCCACAGCATCCCAACCGCTGACGCCATCAGCAGTGGACATGTAACAACTGTGAGCCACAGTGGTGCACATGTAACAACTGTGAGCCACAGTATCCCTACCGCAGACACCATCAGCGGTGGACATGTAACAACTGTGAGCCACAGCATCCCTGCAAGCAGTGTGACAATTCACAGTGTCGGCACCAAGGTCCATTCGGTGACCAGCCACATTCCAGACCATGTCGTTCACTCATCGATGGAGGTCCACTAATCTGGATGTCCATGTAGGTCGATTGCAGTTCTTCAGCCTGGGAACTAAGCTGGGGAGCGGTCGGGCATGATTTCCGGGAAGGGTTTGAGCAGCAGACCGTGGGCCACTGTGCCGCTGAGCAATTGAGAATCTGACGATTATACAAATTTTCTTAATAGCGGGGACTGAAGGACCGGATAAGAAAGAAACCTCAGAAGAGAAGCCAGCTTGCCCAAGAAGAAGTGAAGCTTGTCGAACTTTGAGCAAAAGAAAGGTTGCCAGTCCATTTTGCCAGAGTGAGGTGTGTGAGGACGGGTGAGTGAGTTGAAGCTTGATGTGTGTTTGGCCTGAGAATAGAACATATGCTTCCCCCCCGGTATTCTGTCCCAGTTGTGTTGCCCTTTCGCACTGTTTTTGTTCAATACTCAGTTTATTAGAGTTCATAAAAGTGAAGGGTGTGTGATTGGGGTGTACAAAATCATCGTCATCACTGTCATTCTTGGTCTCCCCATGTATTCGCAGCTTCAAGATTAGATGCGTGATCACGATTGGAGAGAAAGCAAGAGAAAGAGGACCACAAGTTTAACTCAGATCCGCCCGCTCGCATTGAGTCACTCTCCCAACCTCTTGGGCCTTGGGCGTTACGGAACAACCAAACGAATCAGGTGTGTCTCATGAGAGGCACCGGTGTGTTCAACGGTGCTAAACCACGATCCCCACGTCCTACCGAGTGGCTTTCCATTGAGACTCTTTTTTTAACAAGGGGTCCATCATCCCAAGCGTGTGAACGTGGATGAAACTCACTTGACCTGTGTAATGAAGGGTGTTGTTGCTTTGATTTGGGCACTCTGGTTTGAAGGATTCATAGGTTACAGGCATTTAGCCATCGACAATAATTCTGTGAGATCATCGAAGCAGAAACCTAATGAGGTTCTTCATTGTTCCTCTATGATTGACTCTTGATGATAAATAACAACCCCCGCTCTCAGACACCAAGAAGCCTGTCAAACCTCTTCAGGCCTGGAGGGGTGACATATTCATCAAGAATCGACCAGAAGTTTCGTCGAGAATTACAAGCCCGAGAAAGGTAGGTAGCAGGCTGAATTCTCCATAGATACAGTCCATGGGTTCTTGCCTGCAAGGCAGTGGAAGAGCGGGCAGAATTCCGGCGCGATTTGCAGTCTCCACTATGGACTGCTGAGATTGTAAATCTTGAGTAGCTTTGCAAAGTGATGTTGAAACTTGGATTCTTTATTATACAATATACAGTTCTCATTATTGCCGACCAAATAATGGTGTGTTTCGTGGTGCTCGCAATTCATAATTCGCTCCAGTGACTCTCGTATGTGACAGCCTCAGCCTTGCTCACATGAACCCAAAGAAGATCTCAATGGTGGACCCCTCATACAAAGTGTACAAGAAGTTCCTGCAGATGTAGTAGGCACATGAGACGGTTGCCGACTGCGAATTTCTGCATGAGTCTGTCGCAATGGAGTGCCAACACGACACTCCAAAAGAGTCTTCAGTTTCACCAAGCGTGTGCGGCACTGTGCCAGTGAAACCCAGTTGCCGATGAAGTTGTCTCTACAGTTTTTGCGCGAGAAGTTGACCATTTGACCATCCATAGAGCATCAATCCATGCGCCAGGGCGACAGGGTCTTTTCACATCGAATTGATTGGCCATGACCCACAGCCCGCTATACTGAAATCAGTGGCGGCTTTGTTCGACACAATTCGTCAGCTGCAACTCGTCGGGAGCCCAAGAGCCTTCGTTTGTTTTCCACATCAAATACTCCATGTATATAACTTTATAACAGTTTATGTCTGGATCATTCTGGTGGTTTCAGAGGTCCAGTCCATGTAGGCATATATATTTCATAATTATTTCCTGCGTGGAGTGTTTGCGTTCGGTCCGCTTGTGGAAGGGGATGAAGCACAGAGGCCCTTTTTGACAGAGACCCAGTCCTACAACCGAGTCGCCCTGGTCGTTTGGAGCAGAAGATTTGTCCGAGAACGATTCCAACCATTGATTTAATCATTCTTTAATTCTGAACAACCCTTGCTTTACAAACGATTTTTGCACGGCATGTCAGCATGTCAACGATTTTTCAACATGGCCTTGGAAGGCCAGGGGCATGCAAACATCGGGTGGCCACGTCAACTGATCCATTTTAATAGGAAGTCTTCTCTTGAGTTCAGCTCTAAACATTGATACCCATGAACTAGATTCTCCGCGTGAAACCGATGAACGAGAGATTTCATCCGCCCAATCGGTCTCCAATCCTCTGTGAACTGCGCCGCCAAAACATGCGCCGTGCTCGTGTTTGTTCTCCTCTCGTCGCTGTTCCGAACGAGACATCTCTTCATCCATGTCCTCCAAAAGTTATGATATAGCCTTCAAAGATCATTAAAACACGGTTGACCTTGTAATGTAGTCCAAAATCATCATGACAATATAACGCAATGGCGACTCGGCGGCTACTGGTAAGAAGAATAATTATATAAATTGTGTTTGGAATCCTAGAGCGTGTGGACTCGTAAGGATTGTTTTTTCTCCGACCAATTGGGGTGGATGACAGTTTTGATCTTGGTCTCCACTGCAGGAGTGTTTGGGAAATGTGAAACTGGATTGTGGGACAGGACATGAGACTCTGCCTTGTCCAGGGGAATCAATCGTTTCGCTTGCTTCTACCACAAAAACACTCTACAGCTGGCAATATCTATATAGAGGTTTCATATTCATAGAACAAACACGTTGACCTTTCGGCACACTGGTTCCCTGCTACCGCGGCAACTTGGATTCCATCCAGGCTTTTCACTTCGGTCTGTGGTTCCACTTTCCCAACAGCCTGAATTCGAACCTCCTCAGGTGGCGAAGTACTGAGTTGTGGCTATGCGGTCGGGCGCCGCACCCCAGTTCGGAGTCGAAAGCGAGCAAAAAGAGATGCGAGTCCGATGGAGTGGGACGGGAATCCAGTCTATAGCAAGACATTCAAGCAGAGGTCCTCCTTTTTGCTGGTATATCTTCATTCTCCACCAATCCACCTGAAAGGGAAAAGCTGAAGAAGCAGGGGTTAGCTTTCCTGTGAGAACATGTGATACCAGCTATTATTCTTCTCCGCCAACCTTGGAGCCAAGCAGTTTGGATCATGTGAGACGAAGAACGTGCATAATTACACTATAATATATTATAGTCCAATGTCTTAAATTTAGTTATATATATATATTATATTGTTGTAGATCTAAAGGTCCTAATAGGTAGCGTTGTTGACGATGACCTTGGAACATGTCAAAACCTCATTTGGCGAAAGTTGTTTCTCGAGTTCGCGATTTTATTTGGCGAAAGATATGGCTAAAGATGTTCTTTCTTCTGCCGTTGCTACTACTACTACTACTACTACTACTACTCCTACTCCTACTCCTAATCTTGCTGCTGCTACTACTGCTGCTGCTACTACTACTACTACCACTCCTGCTGCTGCT